GGTACATGTATTCCGTTACTCCCCAACACTGCCTATCATCCATACGTAAGGAGCTCATTCTGGGGGGAGTTCTTTTTTCTCCTCTTCTTTCCTCATGTTGTGCTTTTTCCATTTTTATACCTCTCTGACCTGTCTTCCCCATGTGATGTTTGTGTAATGTATGTATGGTTGGAAGGGTAAGATGGCACTGGCGTAAGGTCGGCAGCCTTCACCCAATTTCTTCCGGGGCCAACCTTCAGGATCAATAAAATTCAATTGAATTGAATTGAATTGAATTAAAGGTCCAAAACATACAATATTAATTATAATAGTTAAACTGTTCAGTTGACTCTAATGTAAGTAAACAACCTGAACACTTTTTCTCTAATAAGTTACTTTGTTACAATAAGTAATGCATTGTATGTAAGTAAATACAATAAAAGTCATATTGTAACCTTCTGTTGTTTTAAGAGGTGAATGTCTTTTATACTAAGTACACAATATATAAGAAGGAGCTTTACATTTTATGGCCACGTGGACAAAGGTAATGTTTGAGCTTGATCACAATTTCTTTCAGCCTATCAGCTCTGATAATTCAGACACAGTTCAAAGAGCAGCTGATCTCTTGTATTGTGTGTTTTAATGAAGGATATTCATCAACAACGGCATAAACGAGGAGGCAGAGATGAAAGTATTTCTGCTTACTGCTTTCTAACAAGACGTTTTCAACACCACACTGCAAGGAATAGTTTGCTGCACTGCTATAGAAAAGAAACAGTCGTGCTTTATCTTGATGATTTTGGTTTATAGAAACTATATAAAACAGCTTTGAGTTTGATAAGAGGCTTGTAAACTTTAACAGGTCCATGTTAGCTTCTATGATTTCATCTACTGGCTCTAACGGCAGGACTATTAAAATCCTGGAGCAAAGTCCGGTGGCCTCATAGTCACGTAGCGCAATGCTTAGCTGGTGAATCAGATTTTATATCTATATGTAGCACTGCATGAGGAAAAGGTGAAACCACGCTTTTAGTTGCACAAATGATGTCATTTTGAAAATGACATAATCGAAAATGTGGACAGAAGAGATAGAAGAGAGGTTGAGGGAAGTCCATCATTAGTGTCCTCTGGAGTTTATGAGTATTAGCTCCACATTTAATGAGAATCTGACCACTTACAGAGTTGTAGCACATAACATTCAAACATGCAGCCCAATCCCCGTCAAACTACCACACTGTGGAAAAAATGAATGTGCACTAAGTAGGTCAGTGAGGCAACACCTGAAACAATAGCAAAGCAAGCACAGCTAAAAGACAGAGAAATCTTTTTAATCAGCCCTATAATTAAACTCTCCATACGCACAGGAAGAATGAAGCTTCTTGACATTCCAGCCATGGATAATTGTTACTGCATGTTAAACATGACACACATTTCACTGGGTAAAGCTGCAGGTTTATCAGGGAGAACTGGCTTAGTAGCTTTCGATGAGAGGGTGAATTTAGGATGATAATCTGTGAGATTTTCAGTAATTGTTCACTGTCTCGTGTGCTACTGCACTGATGCAGCTGGTATAAAAGAAAAAATAAGAAAAAGGGGTTTTTTTTGTAGTTTTTTTGCTGATTAAGCTTGACCTTTTTCCTCTTGTCTAACCTTTTGAACTCTCTGTAGCAGCACACTCAGAGAGAAACTGTTCACTCACCCAACCCATCGAGTCACAGTGAGTCACCTGGAACAGCATGTGTTACGTTTCCCATCGTCACAATCTGTATTTTGAAAATGACCACAGACTTCAGGTGAGGATGATGAAAGTGTTGCAGATGTTTGGTCCAAAACCAACCTGTGAACCCGATACGAAGGAATGGTTTTACTTGAGTCCTTACGATAAGTGTTCAGATATTTAACATGTAAATAAACATACCTAAAAAATAAAACCGAAGCTGTCTGTTCAACCGGGCTCCAGAACTGAAAATGAAACCAACATTAAAATACCCAGTGACCCCCAACAACCAGTCACCAACTGGTTGGGAATACACAATTATCTACAGCGACCAATGGTTGCCAAGGCGGTCACCAGCTGGTCACTAGAGCAGTTGGTGTCACTGAGAGCTGACCAAAAGGAAAACAAATGTGTGAAATCATTTTGATGAGCTTTTGAATGTTTATTTTTGAAGTATCTTAGTTTTTCCTGTGTCACACTTCGTAGGCAGTCCCTTAGGGACTCGTTTCACAGCTGATTACATAGAGACCAGTGCTGTTTGTCCACCTCAGATAAATTTGATGGAAATGTTTATAGGTTGTTGCCTGCAGTTCAATTCATATATTCATATATTTATTTAATATTTAATAATTATTTAAACCTACACAATCAGACGACCCTGTATAAACAAGCATTTGATGACAGCAGGAAGGAAAAACTTCCTTTTTTACAGGAAGAAACCTCTGGCAGAACCAGGCTCTGGGAGGGACAGCCAGCTTCTACCACCAGTGATGGGAGAGTGACAGGATAAACAAACATGGTGTGGAAGAGAGCCAGCTGGAACGATGCATCAGACATTTTGATTATTTTAATAATTCTGGAAGCTCGAATCAGTGAAAATGTTGAAAATGTTTGTAGCTGTGCCGATTTCAGAACTCCAAAATTACAAAAATGGCTCGACTTGCCGTTATTTGTTTACTATCTGTTATTAAATGTTCACTTCTTACTTTGAAGCACCGAGACCCTAAATAGTCAAACAGCCGCTAAGATAGCAGCTAATTCATTCAGCATCTAGCTGGTGTCTGCAGTGAGATTAGCTGCACACACTCTTTGAATCAGGTTGTGTGTTGCCAGGTTGCTTCAACAGATGGGTGGAAATTGTATTTAGCAAGCGGACTGTTGATTAATAGCAAACCAGATGGTCCCTCTCCTCTTTAGTCTGGGGGAGAGTGGTGTTCAAGTTCTCCACAAAGAAAACTTGGACTCGTCTGAGCACAGAACAGTTTTCCACTTCAGCTCAGTCTCTTTTAAGAAGACTGCAGCATTTCTGGATCATCTTCACATGCGACGTTTTCTTTGCATGAGAGCTTTAACCTCTGTGAAT